AGCGTGGTTCGGTGTCCGAAGCCGCCATTTCGGGGGCATTCAGGGGGAAAGACCGGCCGGCTAGGGATGAGGCGGGTGCCTGGCTGTGGGTGATGCTGGCTACCACATTGTTCGTCGACAAGAGTGGTAGTAGAGTGACCCCCAAGCTCCTGCACGAGGTGCTCGACGGCTTGGATTTGATTGAGGGTTACTCATGGGGATCGGCTACGCTGGCATACTTATACAGACAGCTAGGTATTGCCAGCCGAGGGGACTCTGCCCAGATGTCGGGCTGCTTGACTCTTCTACAGTCTTGGATATATGAGTATTTCCTCGATTTCCGACCCCGAGGGCGTCTACCCATCGGTCCTGACTGTCTCGCACGATCACGCTCGTGGGCCGTAGGAAATGCGCCACGGTCAGACGATAGGCTCACAGCCATCCGTCGGCGCCTCGACAGACTCACTGCCTCCGATGTACGTGAATTTATTTTATTTAAATTTAGTTTTCCGTTATGTAAAATAACATAATTATTTTTATAAATTCTCTTATGCAATTGTGAACAGGTGCAATGGTTGCCATACGGCACCTCCAGCCCAGATGCGATAGAGCCGAGGACTCTTTATAGCGGATGGATTCGATACCGCGATGTCGTCGAGCCGTACTTGCCTTCGCGGTGTCTGCGTCAGCTGGGGTATGTCCAGACTGTCCCTCCTCCTATATTCCCGCCAATCAGTGCAGTACGTGCTTGGGAGTCTAGGAACTACAAGGTTGAGCATTCTGAGGCTGGTGCAGTATCCCTCTGGACCCAGTTCCCGATGTCTGGGACGGTCAACACAAGTATGTTGACCCAGACCACACAGGATCGCGGGGAGGCGACTGAGGATTACCTGCAGTGGTACAGTCGTGTTTCCCATCCGACTCTCATGGGCGAGGAGCTGCCGGACGAGGACGAGGTCCAACGCGTGTCAATACCGCCTATGTAAGTTGGTTACTAAATTTTAATTAATGTTAACTCATTACAATTTTTTTTTTTTAAACAAATTTAAGTCTTATGTTTTTATTCTTTCATTTTTTTAGTGGGTGGACCGTCTTTTGGGCATTACATCGACCTTGCAGCAGATTGTTCCAGACTGTCCGGAGGCGGCGGAAGTCGAAGAACAGCTGGCTAAGTTTAAGTTCGATTACGACAATACCCAATAATAATGTAATGAATGTTTTTTTTTTAATTATTATTGTAAAACATTAAGTTGAATGTTTTTTTTTTTTTAATTTTTTTTTTTTTTTTTTTTTTTAGCTAAACTTAAGTTGAATGAGAAGCGTCACACCACAAGTGAATAATATCGTTCTTTTATTCAAGAACCTTTTGTTTGAACAGTGTACCACAATTGCAACCTAGACAGGTACTGATGCTCCCAACCCACTACCGATTGATCTCGGTAACGAAACCACATGCGATGAATAGGCGGTAATGGACAATCATCAGTCAAATCTAAACGAATGTAGTGTTCTATGCGACCAAGATGGCAAATGGCAATCTCACGACATGGTCCTCTAGCCGATGATCGTGCAGTGAGAGGCAACACTGTGGTGCTGAATAAGTCGTGTTGCCCACTGTTTGGACCAAAGCTCAAATGAACGACAACCACATTAAATAGGGTCGCAACGGCAAAGAGGTCCTGCGGAACTTCGAACCAGTGAGTCGATGGACAAGAGCCCTTGGGCCACCTTATGCGACGGAGTCCGTCCTCGATATCTCTAAAATAGATGTACTCGTACAATTCAGGGTGGTTCTCGACCTCCTTCGCAATGTTTTCTCTTGCATCTGGCCAGTACTTCTGATGACCATACATGTGACTCGCGATGACCCGAAATCCGCAGTTACCATCCGCTTCCACATTCAGGTAACTCACTACGTAGTCCAACATATGCCAGGGGATACATTGCCAATATGAAAATTCAAAAATATTTGTCGGTCTGAACTCTGCAATAAATATCATAATAATTTCACGTCACAATTTATATAATCATATAAATACTTTAATTAACGCTCAACCGTATTTAAAAAAAAAAAAATGTATGACCTTCATCCCCTTGTGACTGTTGAGAAGACGAACTTGTCTTTCCACGCGAAGAATTGGTCGTACGGCTCGATTTCCGACCTCGCGATTTTTCGTTGTGCTCAAAAGCAGATGGTTTACGCTTCGTTGAATTAGTTTTCTTGGGACGACCTCGCGGGTTATCCTTAACCTCAGGTTCCGCATAATCCTGTTGGTCTGGGTAAAGATGACTGTACATGAACTGATTCACGTACCGCATCGTCGCGGGATCGCGGGTTTCAACCTCAGTCACAAGCGTCTGAAAGAACGCCGCATCTGACCATGCAGCGTTGCTCGCCTGGCTCGGATGACCAGTCCCTACAAGTGTACGATAAAAAAGTCAATGAATTAAAACAAATAATGTATTTTAATTGAAAATTATAAAAAAACATTAATCTTAAATTACCTGGCTCTAATATCTCGAGCGTTCTCCAGAACTGGTGAATCATTCCGAGATCAATCGGAACGTCGAAATCTTCTGAGTTACGGAGGAGACAGGCACAAGGAAGTCCATGAGTGAGCTGTAATACACAACCGCAGCTCGTGTAAACATCGGTGTCCAACTTTTTCATCCTCGTA